TGTCTATTGGTAAAACAGTTGTTTCTGGATCATCCCGAACTGCCAGAAGCTCGGTTAGGGTTTTTCCCAGGATAGTAACCAAAGTTGTTGCTCCGGTTTGAGAGGCCCGCAGTACAGCATCCTTGGTTTTGTTGTTTGTTGCCAACAGAGGCTCAACCTCGGTGTTGAGCTTTGGAGCAACCAATACATTAAAATTCTCCGGACGAGGGTGCCTCTTCCGGAGTTCCTCCCTCTTTTCCTTTGACAAGCCATTTTGCAGGATCCTCCTCCATCTCTCCACTAAAAAAGGATGTAAAGGTTTTCCTATTTGGATCTCCTCGGTGGACTCTCCCAAGAGGGCCAATAAGTCAGGGGTGATATCTGCTGTTGCAGATGCACCAGTGTCTTTTTCTGCTGTTGCAGATGCACTGGTCTCCCTTTCAGACACTTCCTCGCTCCTTCGTGTGACTGAGCAAGATTTGGTAGAGGTTGTGTTGGATCGGGAACGTCTATGTCGTCTGTGATGCCTGGAAGCGCTCCGCCGATGTGTAGACTGACTGGTACGGCTTCTGGAGCGACTACGTCGATGGTATCTGCTATGGCGGTCTCTGGAACGGCTATAACGTCTTCTGGAGCTACTGTGATGGTCTCTCGAAGAGCTTCGATGTTTCTTGGGGCTGCTGTCTCTGGAACGGCTTCGTAGATGTCTTGACGTCCGAGAAGAATCTGAGCGACGAGAGGAGCGGCTCCGTAGTGAAGGAGATTGTACGTTCTCCTTGTCTTCAGTTGTAGAAGCATGCTTAACCCTCAAAAGTTGATTGAGGTTAACTTGTTGTTTATTAAATTGCTCCTGCAATCTTTTAAATTGCTCCGCCAGGTCCAGCTCTTGTGGCGATGTATTCCCCGATGTCGGGGGGTCGCTTTTTTGCATGTTTTTTTTTTGATATTAAAAAAGGATTTATTCTAAAAACGAACAAAATTATTTACTATTGTGGTCAAAACCGCACAACAAAGCGTAATGACATTTGGGCGCGAATCGGGTGACCAATAGGGTGTTGGTCGGAAGCGCGCCAATTTTGAATTTTAATTTCTATGCTTTAAAATAGTTGTGGTTGAAACCGAGCAGCTGGCGCTACTACAAGTGTATAATTGATCTAGAGGACGAGACCCTGAAGTATAATTGTATTCCTATGTATTTCCATTGTATTCCTATGGTATTCCCCCTCTAAAATGTCCAGGGATTCCCAAGTGTGGGTGACCCCTCGTTTGTGTACCTATTTTCTTAAGTTGTTTTTAAGTTCATTTAATATACCTATTAAATATCACCAATGATTTTTAAAATTATTATCTAACACAATTTGGGTACGCTTCGTGAGACACGTAAGATGATTACGTGTCTCACGAAGCGTACCCAAATTGTGTTAGATAATAATTTTAAAAATCATTGGTGATATTTAATAGGTATATTAAATATACTTAAAAACAACGCCATCACGGCGTCGCCGTGACTAGAAGTACACCGGGAATACGGGCATTAAACGTACATCAGGTTTGTACGCATGCGTGTTTCCTTACCAGCTGATGGCAAAATTTCGGATTAAATTGATTAATCAATTTAATCCGAAATTTTGCCATCAGCTGGTAATTCAATTGAATTGGTACACTAAGGCCCAGTTGTATAACAGTTGGTAAACAGCTGGTTAACTCTTGATATTAATTATTTAATTAACTAACTAACTAATTAATTAACTAACTAACTAATTATGTAATTAACTAACTAACTTAATTATGTAATTAACTAATTATGTAATAAGCTAACTTTCAAGTTGTATAAACATTGATTAAAATTTAATTAAGTGATTGAAATACAATTACCAACAAAATTAATGAAATGTATGAATTTCCCAAACCAACCCAAACTCAACAACCCAACCCAACCATTGGCCCCCCCGCCCCATTGAGCGCGAAATTGAGCGACCATTTAATATTATACAATTGACAAATATGCTAAATAAGGATTTTTTTCCACCCGGTGTACGTTTAATGGCGGTACTCCCGGTGTACTTCTAGTCACTTTGTAAAAACAACTTAAGAAAATAGGTACACAAATTCTAAAAATACTTACTAAGATCTAAAGTAGTTCAAGCTAAAATTTACATGACCTTCAAAGCACGTTAGATCTAAAATGTGTGGCAAAGTTGTTTTTGAAACGGTAAAGGCGTAATGCTTCGTTCACATTTTTCATAAAAAAAGTATTGACAATCAGTCCCAGGGTCTTCCACCCTGATCAGTCCCTTAAGCAGGGTACCTGTCACTTGATTTTATGGCTGGCGGCAATATGATCGTAATCCCTGTCTTAAAGACCGACTCAGGCGCCAGGTCAACGACCTTGCCCAAGCAACAATTTAAGTATTTGTTACGTATATGGGACTATTGAAGAAACTTCAAAGTGTTTTGCGACAGTCGCCGGTCTCTTTATATTACTCTTTCATTACTACGTTACGACTAAAGTGGGGAACAATTATTGAGTTCCAAAAAGGTAGCAAATATGTCACTAGCTACCAACCCTGCTACTATTTGGGACGTAGCTGCTACGTTACTAGAACGTTCCAATATCGTTGCTAGAGCGTTATAATTATAATTTATTATTTGTTTTTACTTCTATATTAACTGTCTTTGTCAAACTTATATTAGATTATACTATCCCTCCTTTTTTAAATGGAACCACTACGGACTTGGCTTTTCAATGTCGTCGTTTATTAAATATGTACTGGTAGTTTATAACTTCCAGAATAACAATATAATATTTAATTAGACAGGTAGATTTATAAACCCTTTAAATTTTACTGTTGAACTTATGAATTTAGTTTTTGTAAAATAAATACGCTTCATCAATATTTAAGTATAAACAAATTATTTATTTAGTAATGTTTATAAATAAAAAAATCTTAATATTTATTATTATTGTTTTTATTAAATTATTAATACCGTCTATTACCAACAATATTTCTATTTATTAAAAAGTAAACAACCATTTACAAACAATTAAAATAATTTATTATTTACATTACCACTAATTATTTACATTACCATTAATTTATTATTTACATTACCACGTGGTACTGCAGTACATGTACAGTAAAAAATGGCCGATAAGAAGCATTTTCCTTTGAAGTAGTTTTCGCTACTTTAAAGTTTTTTTCCACTTTACGGTTGTTTTGGTTAGTACCATAAACGTTCCAAATACTAAAATAATAACTTTTAAGTTATTAACTTTGTAGTTTTTAACTCATGTTCCAGTTTCGAGATTTTAACTTGCAAAGGGACTACAAAGTAAAAATAATTATAATGTATACATTAGATTATAATCTTTAGGTTTTTATTTAAAGGGTTTTTCTTGGACTGGTTGTCCGAATTGCATCCAAATATGCCACACCGCATTTTAATAAATGCAAATGGCACTATACAATCTAAAACACAAACAAAACAAGTTAACGCAACACAAAAACAATAATAAACAAACCTAACAGGTTAACCTAACGCAATAACAATAATTTGAACGCTGAAAAGTAATTCGAACCTTACCGAACACAAAAACGACAAGTTAAACAAAAAGTAGAGCAAGTTAACATCCAAAAGCATCGCAAAAACAAGAATTTTAGCAGCATATAATTAAAAAGCACGTTAAAGATTTAAAAACACTCATCAAGTGACGTAATTAAGCCCCGCCCAACATGCGCACCATCCTATCTTAAGGTGTATGTATCTTGCGTGTTACTAACAAATCTTTATTAATTTGATGTTTGAAGTGCGACGTTGCCACTCATTTAGGGTCTAGTGTGCTTTGAAGGTCATGTAAATTTTAGCTCGAACGAGTTTAGACCTTGTCTCGCGTGTTGCTCCCGAAAATATATAAAAATGCGGCGATGTGGAATATAAACTCAATTTAATATTAATTTTTGTTGTATTTGACAATTTTTATTTGTTGTTAAGGCTGTTTGATTTCATAAAAAGTGGTGTACGATTTTAAAATACGATGCATCGTACCTATCCTGCTTTTCTCGTACTTTCAGTGTTGCCAGTAGTAGAAAAATTAAAGTACTGAAATGGCAATAAAAACGTATTAAATTTGAAAGATAACTGACTTTGGGTTTTTCTCCATTTTTAAGAAATAAACATTAAACTTATATGAACGTAATTTTATTTTGTACTTTATCAATAAACAAATGCTCATAAATAAACTATAAACATCAAAAGAATAAAATAGATAATTATTATTATACCTACCTATACAAAAAACTTCGAAAAAAAAAAACAATATTGTTGGTAAAATAAAAAAATGGTCTACCTATCGATAATTAATTTTTTTTTTAACAAAGATTGAGGTTTTTGGCTTCAATAATTGCTTTGCATGTAAACGTTTTCGACGTTTTTTATCTTATTCCCATGAGCAAAGAGTTCTAGGACGGTTCTTGGCGAACTTGGAACAAACCTTATGTCAACACTGAGTAGACAACGCGCGCTGCCAACAGTTTAAAACTTAAATTACCAGGATACTTAAACAACTCAGTGTCACCAACCGAAAGTTTTAATTTTTTCTTTAATTTTTATTTAAATAAAGGGAAAAATCTAAAACTGGAAAACATACTGAAAACCAATAACAAGGTACTTGCGTACTTTTTTTAATTCGAAAATACCGAATTCAGTACAAACGTACTGACGCTGGCAACACTGCGTACGATTAATATTTTTTCGCAAGTTGCCAACACTGGGAGCATAGTACTTGTATGACATTCTTTTGGCAACCGTGAGATCGATAAGTTTTCTAGGTTATTTATACAGGCTGTCGGTGATAAAGTTTATAAAGTTTTATGCCTAACTTTTTTACTTGTACTAATTCAATAGGAAGGTTTGTAATAATACTTTTGTTACTATTAAAATTGTTTACAAGAACATATTTATGAACAAATTATTAGTTTTTGTAGATTATAAACAAATAGTACACGTGTTTAATTTTAGAAATGCCGGCATCTACACTTGATTCTGTTAGCATGGCTCTTTGCACAGCCTTAAATAATGAAAACAATTTCGGAAATTTGTTGGATATTCAAATGGGAAGTTCTATTAAAAAAGCATTGTTATCAAACATTGAATTTGAATCAGCTGGTAGCTATCAAACTACTGTACTTGAGCGGTTAAAATCGAAATACATAGTTCTAAAAAGCTTGGAAACACCAAAAGCAAGGTAACATTTCAGGTTAGTTTTTGCTTGCAATAGTTTTAAAACTCCTGTTTAGCCAAAAATAGGTATACACTGACATTGTTTTCAAAATACTGTTTGATGTTTAAAATGTTTTAACTTAACAACTGCTTTTTGCAACTACAGATATTTTCAGCATTTTAAAGTGTTTTTAACTAATTTAAATTATTTTTTGGAAAATGTGCTAGAACATTTTTTCGAAAAAATTAATCCTAGTTTTCTATACAGGGTGAGTTTTAAGTTGACGCGTTCCTTTTAACAGCGTGTAGAAATCAGATAGACAAATAAATATTTAAAGTAACTTTTTTATCAAAACTCAAACATAAGCGAGTTATAGCCCTTCAAAGTTTAATTAAATTTTGAGCCGGTCCTGGCTATTGTTAACAAAAAACATAACCATAAAAATAATAAAATGTCATCTATGACCACAAACATAACCATTTAAAACAAAATGACACATTTTTAACAATAATTAATTAATTAATGACACATTTTTAACAATAATTATTGATAATTAATAATAAGGTGACCAACTATTTTTTGTTCAAAAAGAGTACACTTTGCAAGTACTTCATAGGTGAAAAAAAAACGATAAAAACCTTATTTTATTTTAAAAACATATTTTCCTTCAGGGTGGATTTTTTTTGCTAAGTGAGGATGTTCGTCTAATAATGTAGCCACATCCGAACAAATTTCATTTTGCATATTAAATTTGACTGCTAAGACGGCAGATAATGTTTTTACAGAAAGTTGCGACTTCTCACTGCTCCGATAATCATTCCCTATTGAAAATACCCTTTCAACAGCAGCATTAGTGCCTGGACAACATAAGGAAATTTCTATTAAAACTTAAATTTTCATGTGGGATATGTTCTACTCTAAAATGTCGAAAGATTTCTACCCATCTTTTGTTAAGTTCTATTTTCTCATCAGTCGTTGTTAGAAAAAGAGGTCTGTAGTATCCATAGATTTCTTTTTAATCTATGGTAGTATCTATTATCTCTCCAGGTACATAATACGGCCTCTCAATTGTGCCAGAAACGGCAGCAATATGCGCGCGTGAAATTCAAATCACTGTCAAAATAATTTTAAATATTTAATTAATAAAATTGAAATAAAATAATCTAAAAAAATGTTTTAGAAATACAAATGAGTATAAAATTATACAAATGAGTACTTTCAGAGTAAAGGATTTGAAAAGAGTACGGTTTGCGAAAAAAGAGTACAAAACTCAGTAAATGAGTATAGTTGGTCACCTTATTAATAATTAATTGAGGCTCAACAAAAACTTAAGTAAATAATGACATTTTTCATTGCTAAATGTCATTTTGATTTAAATGGTTATGTTTGTTGCCATAGATGACATTTTGCATTGTTTATTTTGTTATTTTTATTTTTATGTTTTTTGTTAACAATAGCCAGAACCGGATCAAAATTTAATTAAATTTTGAAGGGCTATAACTCTCTTATTTTTGAGTTTTGATAAAAAAGTAACTTTAAATATTTATTTGTCTATCTGATTTCTACACGCTGTTAAAAGGAACGCGTCAACTTAAAAATCTGAAATTATTTGTGAATGTGGCTCACAAAATCATGTATTAAATTTTGAAGACATTCTATGCAACACTTTAAATGGGGATAATAAGAAGATAATAAGAATATTCTCTGTTGTGTTTAAATTTTCTTATTGTAATAAATATAAAAAGTTTTACATATTTCATTTTAAGTACATTGTTGGACCTAAACATAATAGATTTTGTGCAAATGTAATAGTGTAATAGAAATTTGTCAAATGTAATATACAGGGTGTCTCAAAAGTCAAGGACAGCAGAAAAGGGGTAAATAGAGAATGGGATTCTAAGTCGAATGGAATTTGCCGTTTTTCGATTAGACGCACCATTAATTAGTTATTAATAAAATAAAGTAGCCAATCACAGGCGTGTTTTAGCAGACTGATTAGAGGTGGGACAACACAAACTTTTGTAAAAATTCCATTCCATTCCATGAACATGTCATATGTGAAATGACCTTAAATTAATTTATTTACTGTCACTGTCAGTGTTTTGGTTTTTTAGGTTCAGTAGAAATGTTTATTTTTTTGTGTGGGACAAATAGGTACCCATAGATAACAAAGCCTACCACAGGTCTGTGGTACCTACCTATCTTTTTGTTATTTTTTTTAACTTGCGAATTATTAAATAAGTAAATACAAGGTTGATGGTGATATACTTTACTTTACTATTACTTTTTATTAAGTAAAAATAATTACTTTATTAATAATTAATTTTTACATTATTATTTAATTAGAGATATTTTTATCCCTGATGAATATGACATACATTGTAATGTCATTTTTGTTAAAAAAACTTTAACAACTTTTTGAAATGCCTCGCGCTTATACTGTTGCCGAACGTGCAGACATGGTCCGTATTTATTACGAATATGCTCACAATGCTGCGGAAGCTGCACGCCAGTATCGAATACAATTTGAAGGTGTGCGTGTTCGGTTTCCGAATCATGCTTCAATTCTCCGAGCGGTTCAGGATTTTAATATGAATGGCAACGTTTTACCGGGTGCTGCTGAACGCGTTGGCCGACCACGAACAGCTCGCAGCCTTCATAATGAAGAACGCGTTCTTGAGGCCATTGCAGCTGATCCTGGAACTAGCACTCGCCAACTTGAACGTGGATTGGAGATCTCCCGCAGCACAGTTAACCGCATAACTAAGGACAACGCACTACATCCTTACCACGCTACCAAGGTACAACATCTGGAACTTGGAGATTACGAGATGAGAAGACAGTTTTGCAATCAAATTCTCAATATGCACCGTGAAGACCCTAACTTTCTGAGGCATGTATTGTGGACTGACGAATCACCCTTCACTCGTGAGGGGTGTTTTAATCCCCATAATGTGCATCAGTATGCGATTGAAAACCCACATTTTGAAAGGGTGCAAAGTTTCCATCACAGGTGGAAAATTAATATGTGGGGCGGTATTATCGGAGATACCGTTATTTTATATCAATTACCAGAAACGCTAAACGTAAGTTAAAAAAATGATCAATTTATATCATGAGTTGATCATACAATTTTTTGATTATTTATTAGGGAAACTCGTACTTGGCATTTTTGCAAGAGGTTCTTCCAGGGTTGCTCGAAGAAGTTGGAGAGCGTCCTCAGTACTTCCAGCATGATGATGATGATGATGATGATGGTGCACCGGCTCATTACTTCGGTCGTGTCCGGGATCACCTAAATGCTGAGTACCCACGACGCTGGTTTGGGAGAAACGGCCCGTTTCGTCGGCCCCCAAGATCACCGGACTTAACACCTCTGGATTTTTTCTTGTGGGGATACATGAAGGACGTCGTTTACAAAACCGTGCCCGAGGATCAGCTTGACACTCTGGAGCGGATTCGATTATCGCAAGCAGACATAACACCAGAAATGCTGGAGAACGTCAGAACGAATATCATTAAACGTTGTGAAATGTGCTTGCAGAGAAATGGAGGAACCTTTGAGCATCTCATGAGATAAAGGACCGAAGACTATTTAAAAAACGGCCCTTCTTAGGGCCACCAAGTTTCCCTAAAAAAAAAGAATGCCTTTAGTTACCCAGAGAGCCATACCCACATAACACAAAAATATATTGAAAATATTGAATGAATATTTTTGCTAAATGAACTAAATATTGAAGAAATATTAGTCATTATTATTTAAATGCTAAAAATACAAGAAAATTTAGTACACGTCTTAATAAAAAATATTTATAAAAAAATTTATTTTAGAAATAATCGATATAAATAAAAGTAAAATATTTAAACACAAAAATTATTTGAAAAAAAAGTTTATTTAAGAAATAATCGATATAAATAAAAGTAAAATATGTATACAAAAATAATTGAAAAAAATCACGGAAATAAAAGAAATTTTTTTTTCCTACAGTCTTGGGTTTTCTGCTAATCATCATCATCTCTTACTTACTTTGTTTTCTATTATGAATTGCTGCCTAAAGACTCTCTGTTGAAATTCTACTTTTGAAATTCATTGAACAATCATATTTTACCTTCTTGCTTAGCATCAAGTTCATCCAGCATCTGAAGTACTAAAATTCAGATGTATTACAGTGAATGGCTTGCACGATTTTTGTTTTAGATACCCCAACACCTGCAGGTCCAGTGCGCGTTATTTTAGAACACACTTCATCTGAAGGCTGCATAGAAATAATACTAGTATTATTTCTATGGAAGGCTGCTTTAACAATTAAATTCAACCTGCCTACGACGTCCTCGTCAGCGACAAATTTAAAGTAGCTAACATATAACATAACAATAAAAAACATTCATGTTAATGAGTAAAAGTAAAGTAAAACCTTGGTTCTCTGGGTAAAACTAACCTAAAATCTAAAACACTGACAGTGACAGTGACAATGTCAACCATATAATTAAGGTAATTATACACAACGATTTTATACAGAATTTCTAAGATTACGCTGCACATTATAGTCCTCCCACCTCTAATCAGTCTGCTAAAACACGCCTGTGATTGGCTACTTTATTTTATTAATAACTAATTAATGGTGCGTCTGATCGAAAAACGGCAAATAGAGTAATTGCATCAAAAATGAAAATCCCTAAAAACCTTTTTAATGTAATCTAGAGGTAAAAACACATTGCAAAAATATTTTTTTATATTCCAAAAGTTCAACCCGGCCCCAAAATATCAAATTAAAAAAAAGGTACTTTTCAAACGTTCCGAACTCCCGCCATATTGCATGACGTCATAAGCTCCAACTGTCAGAAATCAAGATGTCAACAAATAATAAACACCGATAAAGTTTATGTTTAACATGGAAAACGCGAAACCAAAAATTGGTTGTAAATATTGTTTTGTGCCTTGTTGTACAAATACAACCTGGAAAACTCCTGGGAAAGTTGTCCCTTCAATTATCAAAAGCAAAGTTTATGACCCTACACTGAGA